CTCAGCGTCTCTGGGGGTCTATGGGGCAGTGGGCTGGCCTTGGCTGGCCTGGACGCTGGGCTTCTGCATGATGATTGAATGATCTGTCTGAGGTTGAATCCCTTTTTGACTGACAGCGAAATGAGCAAATCAGCGATCTTGAAATATAAACCACCACCGGAGCATTTTTTCAAGTTTCATTCCGTTGTTCCGAGTTGATCTGGAGACTTTTCCAATCCTCTTAGTGACTATTTCTTTGTTAAAAACAACTAGCGACAAACCTAGCATCTTTTTCTGGTGTTATTGGAGACTGTACTTGTATTTGGAGACTCTGACTTCTGTCGCTCTGCAGTTACTGTCCCCAACGAGCAGCGAGTGCTGCTGTGAGCCCCTCCACCGACCCAAAACACTCACAGGCGGTCACACTAGCCTCGCGCAGCAGCCCCAGAGGGTAGAATTTACGTATAAATAAACGGACACATTTTATGATGTAGGCCGAAAATGAGCTTCCCCTCCTTGAAAGACCAGCAGCCACCATTGGTATATACCTGTACCAGAGTAAAAGTATTAATAATAATAATATGCTGTGAGACTCTTAGCCTTCTGGGGCCTGTATCACGAAGCAGGATTTTGTCTTAGCGAGGTAACTTCAGGGTTAACCCTGGGTTTTCGGTCTCACTAAGCCGGTTCAGTTCTTATCGGGGTAGATCACCATTGTAACTTACTCTGAACTGCTATCCTGCTCCGGAGCAGGGTAAGTTCAGGGTTGAATCTGATCCTATAAAAAGCACCACCCACTGGCCAATCAGCTGTTCGGAAAAAAATGACTCCGCTGATAGAAATGCAGCCCAGTCATGACGGGAAGTTTAATTAATTTGATTGATTTTGATTTGAAAGTTTATTGTGAACATTAAAAAAGAAAAGAAAGCAACAACAACAGACAATGAAAAGATTGTTCAAAAAAGAGTGGAAAGAAGTCAAAATTTCATCCCACCACTTCAGAAAGAAACTGATCATTTGCAGACACTTAATAGCACCATTAATTAGTGCCAACATTTTTTTTGTTGGAGGAAATGATCCCTGTTAAAGATAATGGGCCTAATTGACAGCTTTGCTGCTGGAAATGTGGAAAGTAGCCTATCATGTCTACACTTCATGGTGTTTGAGGGATTTTCCTTTTTGTTTTTTAAAGAGGGAGACTAGGTATATTTTTGCGCAGCTGTTAATTTCTAACACAGCTCAATATCAGGATGATTTTATTCAGACTATCAATTTGGTGTTGATATGATTTAATTGTGGCGTCAGCTTTAAGCTTTATTGTAGCATATATAACGTTATGACAAAGAAGACCAATTTATCAGACGCAATGATGTTAGACGATAATTGTAATACACGCAATTCATCTGCGCAGCATTGATTTCATGGGATTCAAGGGTGTGATCAGTGTCAGATGTACAGGTACAGGTACTGTAGCTACTTGAACCAGTGATGAGTAATTTAACCTACACATCATTTTATTTGCTACCTTGTTTTGTCTTGATTTTTCCCTCTCTCCTCCTCTATTTCTTCTTTCCTGACCCGTTTTTTTTTCTTCTCTATCATGTGATTTCATTGATGTTTTGACAGGGGAATTTCTTTGATAAGCTTTTAGTGGCTTCTAACCTCTCCGGCACTTTTCTTTTTTTAATCTTGTAAATTTTATACTGTCTGTTTTTAACATTATGTGCAAATAAACTAATCTAAACTAAAACTAAACATTATTTATCCCGTTATGCATTGCCACGCATGTTTCCTCCTCCTGCAGCTGCCACGGTGTTGGCCTTTTCTGTAATGTTGCTTTTCTCCTCCTCATATTTTAGTAGAATTAATCTCTGATCCTCACGAGAAATACTGTTTTTTCCCTCACATATGGCGCTCTGTGAGGACGCTCAGTGACGCTGCGCTTCTCTCATGATTGTGATTGGTCCGCTGCGTGCGCGTTCACGGCTCTTGATAAAGCAACCCTGGGTTGAGTTACCGAGTTGATATTCAGCATAGTGATACCGATTATCCTGATTGCCATTGTTAGGGTTAGTCAACCCAGGATAGGTCTGGGTAACCCAGGAAAGGTTGATCTCGCTTCGTGATACAGACCCCAGGTCATGACAGGATTTGTGTGTTGTTGTTGTTTTTTTTGTTGTTGTTGTTGTTGTTGTTCTTTGGGGTTTTTTTTGGATTGTCCAAACTGAAAATACAGAGATTGCAATTTTACGACGGTCCCTAAGCGCTCCGGCTGCTGCTCCGTACTCGGAAGGATATTCAGCGTTGTTCCTTTGAGTTTTCGCCACAACCACTGAGGTTGGTGAGTTAATGAGAACTGTGAAATTTCTGGCTTACTTGTCTCTACAAAATAATACCAGCCTGGGTGTAATTGGTGCGGTTTTCATGACGCTATTAAGGTTAGGAACAGAAAAAACAAGCGAATGTCGAAAATTAAACCAATTTCACCGCGCCTTTGGGGCGTTGTTACAATAATTATAAAACAGTGCGGTAAAGAAAAATAACAAAACCAGCTTAATTTACCCACTGGAAGTTTCTAAACTGAACGTAAGATGTGAGGAACAGTCAGTAGGTCTCCATTTTGAGGTTAGAAGTGAGAAGGGTGCGGCTGAGCACGGTGAACAACACAGGCCGAGCTCGACCCCGCTCCTCTATAACAGACTAGACATTTAATCAGAGTAAAAAATAAAGCAGATGAATCAAAAATGAGAGTAGTCATTATTTCAGGTCTAGTATTAACACTCACCCTGCCTCAGACGACCTGTATACCTCTGACCGCTGAACGAACTGAGCTTTCAGTTTCACTTTTAGTGTACTTCCTGTTTGCTTCTCCTCCCCTTTTATTCTGAGGAAACTGTGTTACAAACACTGTATTATTATTATTATTATTATTATTATTATTATTATTATTATTATTACCATGGCGCATTAACATAAATAAAAGCGACAGCAGTCAGTCACGCGCGCGCGCGCGCACACACACACACACACACACACACACACACACACATATAAACTGAACTAATTAACCCTCTGGTTTCTTCAGGCTTCAGTCATTATCAGAATACTCTTCAACCTGACAGCATTATCAGATATCATGAGAAATATTGATAGTGATCAGTCACCCAGCCCTAGGGACCCAATGTTACAGTTCTTCACTAACTGTTATTGAAAAATAGGTTACAGTTATATTGCATGGCTAATAATGTTATCAATATTTTCCTGTTAGCCTAACATTAGTCTAGTATATCCATTTTTGTAGGAGAAAAATACAGTTATTAACTTTAAAGGTAAAGCTTTCATTGTGTATTTTTTCATATTACATTGCAATAGCCTGTTTAAAGTGATCACACACCAAACAACTAATCAATGCTGATACTGTATAATAACAGATAAAGGAGTGATGATAATACTGTACATGCTTTGAATTCCTTAGATACAGTGTTCTAAGTAGACCGGATGATGCAGCAGATGATGGAATCCTCATTACAACCAGAGAAGACTTGAGACTTGACTTGCACTTGCAGAAAATTACTTCCACAGAACCAGCCAGACTCTAATATTAATATTAATACTAATATTCTCTGCTGGGTCAGATTTGACCTGAAACACCACATATATATACATATACATATACATATATATATATACAGTGGGGCAAAAAAGTATTTAGTCAGCCACTGATTTTGCAAGTTCTCCTACTTAGAAAGATGAGAGAGGTCTGTAATTTTCATCAGAGGTACACTTCAACTATGAGAGACAAAATGAGAAAAAAAATCCAGGAAATCACATTATAGGATTTTTAAAGAATTTATTTGTAAATTATGGTGGAAAATAAGTATTTGGTCAATAACAAAAGTTCAACTCAATACTTTGTAACATAACCTTTGTTGGCAATGACAGAGGTCAAACGTTTCCTGTAAGTCTTCACCAGGTTTGCACACACTGTAGCTGGTATTTTGGCCCATTCCTCCATGCAGATCTCCTCTAGAGCAGTGATGTTTTGGGGCAGTCGCTGGGCAACACAGACTTTCAACTCCCTCCACAAATTTTCTATGGGGTTGAGGTCTGGAGACTGGCTAGGCCACTCCAGGACCTTGAAATGCTTTTTGCGGAGCCACTCCTTCGTTGCCCGAGCGGTGTGTTTGGGATCATTGTCATGNAAACCATTTCAGGTGACTACCTCTTGAAGCTCATGGAGAGAATGCCAAGAGTGTGCAAAGCAGTAATCAGAGCAAAGGGTGGCTATTTTGAAGAAACTAGAATATAAAACATGTTTTCAGTTATTTCACCTTTTTTTGTTAAGTACATAACTCCACATGTGTTCATTCATAGTTTTGATGCCTTCAGTGAGAATCTACAATGTAAATAGTCATGAAAATAAAGAAAACGCATTGAATGAGAAGGTGTGTCCAAACTTTTGGCCTGTACTGTATATATAATAAAATGTTAACCCTTGGTTTGTTGTGTTTATAGCTGTTTTGAAGCCTTGTTACAATAAAAAAGACGTAATAATATTTATGAAATATTTTAACTTGAAACAGGTCAAAGCTGACCTGAACATAGTCGGAGGGTTACTTGAGGTCAGAGATGCTGTGGCACCAAAAGCAGCAGGTAGATCCAGTGTATTACAGAATAGTACTCAAGGACACAGGACAGGATCTATGGGTGGTTAAAGAGGCAACAGACAGCATCTTTTCCTAAATATATCATTATGAAAATAATGTGGGTTGCACAGGATAGTGATCAGGAAGAAGCCTACCAGCACTTCATCAGGTCACTCTAGTGACCTGATGAAGTGCCGGTAGGCTCGAAACATTGTCCTTTTATACTATGATGATAGAATAAAGTAGCCTATATATTTTTTTACTGGGAGCGGCTACAGTGTTGCGAGTCTTTTTCTTTCTTTCTGATCACGTCTTTTTGACTTGGCACCTGGTAATATGGATGTGCGTGTGTCTACCTCTCCTTAATATTGCACAGGATAGTGGCCACTGTAAAATCAGACTATCAGCGTTTACATAGGTTACTTAGTGGCTTTGCAATCTTTGTAATAAGCTTCTGCCATCGGGGCCAAAATTTCGCGGAAAAAATCTGCTTTACAGCAGGAAACGCGTCATGTATTGCCAAACTGGTCGGTCAGCCAATCAAGGACTGGAGCTGGTCCTTATGAGGAGTTGGGCATGAGATAGTTGAGTCAGGAGCACAATGGCAGACGGACAAAGTTTGGAAACAAGTGAAAAACTGCCTCCCAAAAGAAAAGGAGCTCCTCTGAGGAGGCAAAGAAGAGCAAAAAGGAGAGTGATAGAAGAAGAGGAAAAACAAGAGTAAACCTCAGTCAGGCGTTCAAGAGATGGAGGAAGCTCTGTGACCAAAGAGGCTTCAAAACCGATATCCAGCTAGCTTTCTTTCTAATGGATCAGTAAGTAACACGGCTAAATGTTAGCTAGACGAGAGAGGACTGTACTGTACTGGCTGCTAGTTCATTCTTAGCTGGCCAGCATCGCAAATCGCCGCAACCAGGGAGCGGGTAGCGAGTGTTGGTCGGCTGACATCCTCGTTGCCATTCCACGGCAGCCCTCGGACAGTGATACCCCCCTCCCTTCCTTCTGTTCTGTTCTGTTCTGTTCTGTTCTGTTCTGTTCTGTTCTCTTCTCTTCTCTTCTCTTCTCTTCTCTTCTCTTCTCTTCTCACGGAGGCAGCTATCGACGGACATCGCCCAGCTAAGTTACGCCCAGCTAAGTGAACACTGAACTTTGTTTCCCACTCAATTTGAGCTCCAACCGGCCGCATCGTTTCCATACGGTACTGTTTATTCTAGAATCTGGACTGTTTACATGTGCATATTGGTATAATTCCACCGTGTCTACTGTTGTTGGTACTGATACTGTACATATTGGTATAATTTACTGTGAGTTGTTTGTACTGGTACTGTGCATTCTGGTATAACTATTTGTATTACTATTTGTTTTTTCTTCAGATAAATCTGATAATTGTTGCTCGGTCTCTTTACTCATTTATTTAGTAGAGTGTCTACACACTTTCTCATTCTACATATACATAGATGTATACTGGTGGCTTTACAGCCTACATTTTATTGATTATCTCTGATCCCCACGGTCAATTTGGTCGTTGTGACAGTGCGACGCAACACCACTGACGCTAGGTGGCGCCAAGCTAAAAAAAAACCCGAATCCTATCTGTTGCCTCTTTAATGTGAAATGTGAAATTTGAAATTTATTTATTCAGGATAGCCCCTTGAGATGGATCATCTCATTTTCAAGGGGGTCCTTTCACAAAATGATAAAACAATACAAAGTCAAAATAATAAAAGATACACTGTAACACATTACCGGACTTATACATACAGTACAGGCCAAAAGTTTGGACACACCTTCTCATTCAATGCGTTTTCTTTATTTTCATGACTATTTACATTGTAGATTCTCACTGAAGGCATCAAAACTATGAATGAACACATGTGGAGTTATGTACTTAACAAAAAAAGGTGAAATAACTGAAAACATGTTTTATATTCTAGTTTCTTCAAAATAGCCACCCTTTGCTCTGATTACTGCTTTGCACACTCTTGGCATTCTCTCCATGAGCTTCAAGAGGTAGTCACCTGAAATGGTTTTCCAACAGTCTTGAAGGAGTTCCCAGAGGTGTTTAGCACTTGTTGGCCCCTTTGCCTTCACTCTGCGGTCCAGCTCACCCCAAACCATCTCGATTGGGTTCAGGTCCGGTGACTGTGGAGGCCAGGTCATCTGCCGCAGCACTCCATCACTCTCCTTCTTGGTCAAATAGCCCTTACACAGCCTGGAGGTGTGTTTGGGGTCATTGTCCTGTTGAAAAATAAATGATCGTCCAACTAAACGCAAACCGGATGGGATGGCATGTCGCTGCAGGATGCTGTGGTAGCCATGCTGGTTCAGTGTGCCTTCAATTTTGAATAAATCCCCAACAGTGTCACCAGCAAAACACCCCCACACCATCACACCTCCTCCTCCATGCTTCACAGTGGGAACCAGGCATGTGGAATCCATCCGTTCACCTTTTCTGCGTCTCACAAAGACACGGCGGTTGGAACCAAAGATCTCAAATTTGGACTCATCAGACCAAAGCACAGATTTCCACTGGTCTAATGTCCATTCCTTGTGTTTCTTGGCCCAAACAAATCTCTTCTGCTTGTTGCCTCTCCTTAGCAGTGGTTTCCTAGCAGCTATTTGACCATGAAGGCCTGATTGGCGCAGTCTCCTCTTAACAGTTGTTCTAGAGATGGGTCTGCTGCTAGAACTCTGTGTGGCATTCATCTGGTCTCTGATCTGAGCTGCTGTTAACTTGCGATTTCTGAGGCTGGTGACTCGGATGAACTTATCCTCAGAAGCAGAGGTGACTCTTGGTCTTCCTTTCCTGGGTCGGTCCTCATGTGTGCCAGTTTCGTTGTAGCGCTTGATGGTTTTTGCGACTCCACTTGGGGACACATTTAAAGTTTTTGCAATTTTCCGGACTGACTGACCTTCATTTCTTAAAGTAATGATGGCCACTCGTTTTTCTTTAGTTAGCTGATTGGTTCTTGCCATAATATGAATTTTAACAGTTGTCCAATAGGGCTGTCGGCTGTGTATTAACCTGACTTCTGCACAACACAACTGATGGTCCCAACCCCATTGATAAAGCAAGAAATTCCACTAATTAACCCTGATAAGGCACACCTGTGAAGTGGAAACCATTTCAGGTGACTACCTCTTGAAGCTCATGGAGAGAATGCCAAGAGTGTGCAAAGCAG